CAAAAGAACAATAAAATTATATAGTCTAAAACCTCAAATAAGTGTAGAAAATACACTTATCACACATCATGACAATCATCACTACCTGAAAATTAGATCTTCGCTTACAATACAAAGCATCATCCTAATCACAACATGATTTTGTCAACAACATTTGAAGAAAATTTGAATGTTTTATACAACAGTTTATTTATTTACTTCAACATCATGTAATTTATGCATAATTACACAATTCCTACATCACTAGGAAATACGCCGAATCAAGAAAAGAATAGAGAATGCTCTTGCCTGAGATAACTACTGGGTGAGACATTGATGGAAAAGATGCAGGTGAGAGCTTCTTGATTGCATTTACGACTTATGCTGTCCGTTGCTTCTGAATATGTTCATCAATAGAAGTTGGTGCCGCTTGATTGAAATTCACCAGTTTTTTGCACTTACAATGAAATCATAAAGCGTTTAGTACATATAATAATATTATCTAATACGATTATTAAACAGGATTTGAACCATAAATTCATAGGATTTTAGATTTATCATCTAGAGCAATCCTGTCCAGCCCCCAGCCATTGCATTATTTTTAGAAGAAAATTCTTGTGTAATTTTATTTTTTTTTATGTATTAGCCGGGCTTGAAATCCAGTCCTAGATCCGTCCCTAGTATAAGCTATGAAATCCGAGACTTATCATCTCCTACCATATTTAATACGGAATCCTTGCAACTCTTTTGTGTACTTTTTCTAAGAGTATTAGTTTTGGGAAAACGTATACTTGTTCATCATGTTCAGGTAACCTAAAAATAAATTCTTTTGTTTTCAAACATATTTGGATATGTTACTTTTTTTCCTACTTTTAGGCAAAGTTGCTTATTTTGAAATAACTATTTAGCGTAAATCAGTAACATGTTTCAAACTTTAACCAGTAAAAGAAAATAATTTAAAAACTTTGAATTTACTTATAAGAAACTATTTATTTCTAAGATAAGCCAAACATATGTGTATCAAATGGTGGGATTCAATCTAATAGGACAAAGTATTTACCTCTGAGTTCTTTGGACTGCCGCGTTACCGAGAGATCTTCACATTGCCCTGTCTTTGAGGATTTTCTTGTGAAGGACTGAAGAAAATTTTGCTCTACCCCGATAAGTAGAGGACTCCATGGGTACAGTTTGGGGTTTCATAGAAGTTTTACCAAGCAAAAGAAATAAATTTTGAAGAACTGATAATTAGACTTTGAATTGAAATAGACAACAGAACTTTAGAAAATAAAGTGTTCAATCCTATTGTTGCTAAAGTCAATGTTGTTGAGCACGGTCAAAATTCTAAGACCTTCAAGAACAAGTCTAGGATATTTGGTGGCAAAGTTGCTAAGCTAGGATCGAAAGGTGGCATTTCTAAGAATAAATTTCAAGGAAAATGATTCAATTGTGACAAAGTAGGCCACAAGTCTTCAAAGTAAAAATTTCCAAAGAAAAATAATAAAAAAGAAGCAAATATTGTTGATTACATAACACATGATGTATCGGAGATGAATCTCACAGCCATCATTTCTGAAGTGAACATGGTGAGTTCTAACCCAAAAGAGTGGTGGATTGACACCGATACTACGATGCATGTGTGCTCTGATAGAGAGGTATTTGCTACGTTCGAAACAATTGAGAATGGGGAGAAGTTGTTCATTGAAAATTCAGCAACTTCTGAAATCAAGGGTTAAGGAAATGTGGTTTTGAAGATGACTTCGGGGAAAGAGCCGACTCTTAACAATGTGCTGTATGTGCCGAAAATTCGTAAGAACCTAGTGTCCTGATCGCTTTTGAATAAGCATGGTTTCCGTATTATATTTGAGTCAGACAAAGTTATTTT